TAGTGGACTAAACATGTTATCAGTTATCAATGTTTGAGAGATCAGTTGTTGTTTTCCAGAATAAGTTACCAACTGTCACATGATGAGCTAAAGTTTACCGCCCCAGTCTGATATGTAATGACTGATTGGTTTATATCTGAATGACAGTTCTTTCTCTTTCTTGAGGGGCGGTCGGGTAGCCTAGTGGTTAAAGCGTTCGCTCGTCACGCCAAAGACCCGGGTTTGATTCCCAACATGGGTACAATGTGTGAAGCCCATTTCTGGTGTACCCCTTCGTGATATTGCTGGAATCCTGCTAAAAGCAGCGTAAAACCAAACTCACGCACTCACTCTTTTTCTTGATCTAAATTCAGATGTTTGAGCTGAATTGTTAAGTACTTCTTTTTTATTATCTTAAACTGAGGGGCTGCTCTGTTAAACTACAAAGATTGCCTACTAACGGGTCAAGTTGTTAATTGCCAATGATGACTGTTTCAGGGGTTTGAAAATAGTGTTTTCTTTGTTCTGAAATGTAAATTTGCCTTAATGTGTTAATGCAGCTATGGGCTTTGAGATACCAAGGTTCTGTCAATTAGACTATTAGTGGCAGTTCTTAAACAGTTGTGGTTATTTTAGAGTAATTACTGTCACGTGATGAGTTAAAGTTTACCGCCCCAGTCTGATATGTAATGACTGATTGGTTTATATCTGAATGACAGTTAATTCAGTTCCAAAAACATGAAGACTTTTGTAAGTTGATGAACAGACTGAAATGCAATGAGAACTCCTATGGGCTTTATTATTCATTGTTGATGGTTGTAAATTAAGCTGTTAAATTTTAGAATATTTCATGTTCTGTTGACATGGTTGATGTTAAACTATTAATTTACCTTAATCTGTTTGAAGCTCTCTAACCACTGGTATGACAGTGTAACTGTTGAGACCATTGCAAGTCCCATACTTTAACATTCTTGCAGTAGATGTAGTACTGAGATGTTAATGTCCAAATTTAGGGAAATTAGTAGTGGTGGGACGATACACTGATGCATCGCAAGTTTTTACTTCTCAATTCAAGTATCGATCACTATTGCACATGTCGATAAAAAGTATCGATTCTTACCTTAAATGTATTCTGTAATAAATGTTACACTGAACACTAATTACTAGTGAAAATGAGTAATGAAAACGTTAAATATTTTCATTGAATGGCCATATTTGACACTGCCAACTGTAAATTGTCGGCGTGCCAGGTATTTGGCCATCCTGTCCATGAAAAAGATGACTTACGCACCACAGAGACGAGCACATTCAAGAATCGTGATACACATCGGATCGTGAGCAAGGTATCGTGATACGTATCGGATGGCACAGTTGGTGTATCGTCCCAGGCCTAGATATTAGTATTTTTGACTGATCTGCAGTGCAGTCTTACTGCTGGTCTTGCAACACAAAGCTGCACATATCATGATATATATATGGCCTTCTTTGGAAATTTACAATTGATACCAACTGTCACATGATGAGCTAAAGTTTACCGCCCCAGTCTGAAATGTAATGACTGATTGGTTTATGTCTGAATGACAGTAAGTTCAAATCTAAAAACATTGAAATCATTGATGTTAAGGGCTTTGTAGGGGCTTAATGTTCTGAGGTGTGGATGATCAGATTAAAGTGCAGAGAGTACTTATAGGGGGCTTATTCTTCATTGATGATGGTAAACTTCACCTGCTTCAAAATTACTTTGATAGTGTATTGATGAGATGGTTGATGATATACTGTTATATCACCTTAATCTGTTAGCTCTCAACCCACTGGTGTGACGTCTTACTGCTGAGACTCTTGCCCAGACCTTAGGCTTTATATAGACTTACAATAGTTGTGCTAATGAAATGATAATGTCAATTTTTAGTTAAGTTTTTCTTTTTTCTTTCTCTGAATGGCTATGCTGTCTGACTGTTACTCTTGTAACACAGAGCTGTATATGGCCTTCTTGCGAAATGAAAGCTATTTGATGTTTGTTGATATCAACTGTCAATGATGAGCTAAAGTTTACCGCCCCAGTCTGATATGTAATGACTGATTGGTTTATGTCTGAATGACAGTTCTTGATTCAAATAGTAAAGCTGTGTTGTGACTAACTTGTTATTCTGAGGCATAGTTGAAAATGTTGAACTGTGATTATAACATTTTAGTGGGATAATTGACACAAACCTTGTATTAATAAAGTACATCATTAATGGCAGAACTTAAACAATTGTAATTATTTTAGAATTATTACTTTGAATTGCAGTGTGGTCAAGTTAAACAATTTGGTATTAAGGCTTGTGTGAAATCTATTTGTCAACTTGACCTGTAACAGAAGGAAATTGTCAACTGTCACATGATGAGCTAAAGTTTACCGCCCCAGTCTGATATGTAATGACTGATTGGTTTATGTCTGAATGACAATTCTTAATTTTTGACATTAACACAAGAATTGGTGACAATGTAGATGAAGATATTGAAAGTAATTAACTTGAAAACTAATTCATCTTAAACTTAGTTGTATGTTCTTTACTACTTCCTCCTGTTATATTATAAGTATCCAAATGATATTATTATACTTGAAAGTGATTACTAAGATTGTTTGCCACCTGTTAAGGATTACCACAATCCCCTGACATCCCTGTTGAACTTTCAGAAATCTCAATTTTCACTGTCAACTGCAATATAAAAAATTGATACAAGAATGCCCAGGATTTGTTTTTTCATGTTATATGCTTAAAGCACATGACTTGAGTTACCTCTTGTGGTCATAGAACAGCTGGGGCGGTCGGGTAGCCTAGTGGTTAAAGCGTTCGCTCGTCACGCCGAAGAACCGGGTTCGATTCCCGACATGGGTACAATGTGTGAAGCCCATTTCTGGTGTCCCCCTCCGTGATATGGCTGGAATATTGCTAAAAGCGGCGTAAAACCTCACTCACTCACTCACTCACTCACTCACTCACTCACTCACTCACTCACTCACTCACTCACTCACTCACTCACTCACTCACTCACTCACTCATGGAACAGTGGAACATGCGAGTGTAATATTTTCTTTTTTACACATTATTTCTTGATCCATTTGAGCTCTGCTTTAGAGAAATGCACTGATCACGACCACTGTCTTAGAAAACCACAATTGTTGAATGTCGGCAATCTTCAACTGTGACGTCATTTCTACTCTAGAGTGGCGTCATTCTCACTAATCACATTCATATGAAGCCAATAATGCTGTCCGGATCACGTAATCTGGTGCGCGTGAAGTGATATTGCCACTGATAAACTTACAATTTTATTAACTCAGTTATATCTAACCCGATAGGTTATAACTATTGTTCTGGTATGTTTAGTTCTCATGAACTGTAATGATTGGTAGATATCTGATGCTTGAAGTGATACGTCTATTTCTTCATTTTTCATTGTTTTTCCCCTGTCACTCTGTATTCGACTTTTGTTTCAGATCATGCAGGCTCCAAAGAATGAGACGAATGGTCAGGATGGACCAGTTCAAATGCCGGCACCACGATTAAATGAACGCAAAGTAATCATTACAGGGAATCCTGAGTCACAATGGAAGGTGAGCATGTCATGAACGGGGCTTTGTCTTTATGATGCAACCCGTGAAGATCAAGGGTAGAATAGGTCTTCAGAAACCCATGCTTGCCGTGAAGATCAGGGGTAGAATAGGTCTTCAGCAACCCATGCTTGCCGTGAAGATCAGGGGTAGAATAGGTCTTCAGCAACCCTTGCTTGCCGTGAAGATCAGGGGTAGAATAGGTCTTCAGCAACCCATGCTTGCCGTGAAGATCAGGGGTAGAATAGGTCCTCAGCAACCCATGCTTGCCGTGAAGATCAGGGGTAGAATAGGTCTTCAGCAACCCATGCTTGCCGTGAAGATCAGGGGTAGAATAGGTCCTCAGCAACCCATGCTTGCCGTGAAGATCAGGGGTAGAATAGGTCTTCAGCAACCCATGCTTGCCGTGAAGATCAAGGGTAGAATAGGTCTACAGCAACCCATTCTTGCCGTGAAGATCCGGGGTAGAAAAGGTCTTCGGCAACCCATTCTTGCCATAAAGGCGACTATGCTTGGTGTAAGAGGTGACTTACAGGATCGGGACTTGGTTGATGCACGTCATCGTATCCCAACTGCATGGATTGATGCTCATGGTACAATCACTGGATTGTCTTGCCCAGACTAGATTATTTCTCAGACCACCGTCATATAGCTGGAATATTGCAGAGTTCGGCGTCAAACAACAAGCAAACAAACATACTTTATTATGCTGATCTTTAGCAAGTTTAGAGGTTGATGATACTTGCTCCTTTCACAGCCTCACAGATGCATTATATAGGTCTAACCCAAGACTAGTGAATATCTTTAAGGATTAGTAGCTTTTAGGGCTTTACTAACCGGGTACCCACACCCCTATTACCCGACCCTACCCAGGTACCCACTGTAGGTCTCAGGAAATGTCTCAAAACGTATTTAGATACATGTATTAAACAATCTGGTGGTCATGCATACACTGAAGTTGAATTAAGTTATGTTTATTCAACCATATGAACAATCAGAAGGAATGGGTGCATAGTCAGAAAGAAATGCAAACATTAGTAACTTGCAGTGTAACCATAGAGTTCTAGATAATTTTTGTTATTAAACAATATATCACGTGACTAACCACGGGTCCGGGTAGTCCTGTGGGGAAACTGGGTCCTACTCAGTACCCACCCGACCCCGGTACCCGAGTTACCCCTCCCAGCCCTAGTAGCTTTCCCCCAAAGTGAAATGTTACATTAACAGATAAATCACTTTTATCATCATAGGCTTGTTTCTTGAAATCACTGGATAGTCTGGTCCAGACTCGATTATTTACACACCGCCGTCATGTAGCTGGTATATCGCTGATTGCGGCTTTAAACAACAAACAAACAAAGTCTGTATAAGCAGATATTGTACACATTATGTAGTCAGTTCATCCACCTTAGATTTGTACAAAATGTCATGTGATGAGATAAAGTTTACCGCCCCAGTCTGATAAACTGTGACTGATTGGTTTACATCTGAATGACAGTACTGACACAAATCACGAGTTCGCACTGGTCATATTCTCCCACCAAACCTAATGGTGTGTTGAATGTTGCAGGCACAATTCTATATCTTTGAGCGAGTGAGAGCAGAGAACATGGTAAGCATAGAGGAGGTCCATCTCAGGTCAGAAGTGATGGTGCCAAAGTCATCCATCGGAAGAATCATTGGTAAAGGTGGACAAAACGTGAGTAGCTCAATAGTCTAATTCTCTTACGCTTCCAACTGTTGCTCAAGATAGATTTCAAGGACGAGGTTGAATATGTATGATTTAGGTAGCTGTTTTAAAAAAATGCTTCATTTACAATTACTTATACATATATATATATATGTATTTCCCAAAGATGTGCGACCCGTGAAGATCTGGGGTCCTCAGCAACCCATGCTTGCCGTAAAAGGCGACTACACTTGTCGGAAGAGGCGACTAACGGAATCGGGTGGTCAGACTCGCTGACTTGGTTTGATGCATGTCATCTATCCCAATTGCGTGGATCGATACTCATGATATCAGTCACTGGATTGTCTGGTTCAGACACGATTATTTGCAGACCGCCGTCATATAGCTGGAATATTGCTGAGTGCGGCATAAAACAACAAACCCAACCAACCAACCAAAGATTTGCTCCAAGTTGAATATATATGACTTCTCATTGGACTTGTTAAGACTTGCTGCCATTTTGGATTAAATATACGGTGATCAGTGTAGCAAACATGGAAGTACAGGACATGTCTGCACAATGCAGAACCTTTCGACCGATACCTTTTAGGAATTAGAGAGTATTAGAGTCTGAATAAACTGAACCCCATCTTTTAACCCTTATGGTGTTCATGAAAAACATCATTTCTGGTGTCCCCCGCCGTGGTATTGCTGGAATATTGCTAAAAGCGGCGTAAAACCTCTCACTCACTCACTCACTCACGAAAAACTATATGAGACTATTCATCAAACTGTGTCTATTATGATTATTTTAGGTCTTTTCTTAGGCTTGTCATTGATTCTGTTGTAGGTTAAAGAGTTGCAGCGAGTGAGTGGTGCTATTGTCAAGTTGCCAGATGAGCAAGGGGAATGTGAAGAGGTCCCAGTCAACATTATTGGTCATTTCTACGCTAATCAGGCCGCACAGCGACGTATACGCTCCTTGGTTGCACAGCAAAGCTCTGGCCCTGGAGCAATGCGAGGTGGCCCCCGGAACCCACGACCACAACAGAACGGCAACTAACAAAGACAGCTATATCAAAACTCACATGTACATGGGCATCTAGACACTAAGTTATATCAATAAGATTCATACATTATACAGTTGTGTTCAGGTTGGATGGAAAGATGAGGTGGCTACTTACATGAATACTGTTATAAATAAAAAATATTGCCACTTGGATGGAAGGAAGAAAAAGACTTGGATTGGAGGAACTAAACTGTAGAAGTGTATGAATGTTGATTGTACTGTCTTCTGCCCATGTAGATGAACTGCACTGAGCTAGCAGCAATGGAAATGGAGACCGACTGATCGACCACCTGGCATGACAACCAAAGAACTTTGTTTCTCTCTTCTTGGAGTAAATGTTTAGTTGCACATATAGTTAGGTCTGTCCCCAAGTAGCTCTCATTTTCTCTCCGTTTTTCTCTCAATGTAAGTGATGAGAAAACTACTCCACTCTTGCAAGTGGACTCCACTTGTGGCATGGTCTAAGGCATCAAAATGATTCACTATAACTCGTGGCTAGCTATCGGTGGGATTGGCAGCGAGTTGAGATTAACGTTTGACGGTGAACGATTTGCATTGCGCCTCCATCTCCACTGGCAGATGTTATCCAGATGGTAGATGGGGGCTTGATGTCCATGTAGATGATATATTTATACTTTATTGAGTTTGAACAAATTTTAGATTTGACCATTGTTGCATGTTTGAAGTATATCATGGTCTTTTTTTGTAAAAAAAAATTGAACAGTATGAAAGTTTATTTTTGATACTTGTTGAGATGATTTTTTGTTAGAATTTTTATGATACTATTTGCAGGGTATGTTTCTATTTTGCCCTGTACTGAGGCAAAATATTGATAAAAACTGCCGCTGCAGTAAGTCTGTCTCAACAGTATTCACATGGCTGTGTTTGCAATCAGACAGGCCAGAAAAAACATCCACTGTTATGCCAGAACCCTCCTAGCTGACCTTGACCTGACTCATCTGTATAATAAGTCAAGGTCAGAGTTCGGGAGGTTGGCTGGCACTGATTCCATCTGTGAAAGATGCCTGACAATGTAGTTGCAATGTCCTGTCTGTATCCTAATGTCTGACTGTCCAACGGCAGACCCAGCATCCTGATGCTTGCACACTTGAGAACAGCTCCATTTGATAGCAACTCAACTGACACATGGCGACTGACCAACCTGACTGACCGCCTCAGCAACACACTTGGCCGCTCCTGTCATGGCTGTCTGTTTCTTCTGATCCAGAGGCCCATTCCACACAGTAGTCCAGTGTTTCTGATATTGAACTTCTGTGAAGAGGAATTGCTCTGAGGAATGGGCCTATCTGGACTTAAGCAAGGGGGGTAACTCTAAGACAATCAGTGAATCAAAATATAAACCATTTTCAGTGAAAATGAAATTATGAAATATGATTGCGATGAGACCCTTCTACCAGTCTATTGAAACCAAGTTTAAAAAAGAAAAGAAGATCCTATATATAGGACTAATTTTTGTTGATGTTTTTGCTTTTTGAAATTGGTTTCAAGTGTCTGTGTACCTAACTGTTCACAGATGCCATGACAGATTCAGGCTGGATGTGTCTGTCCAATGTTTTGATGCCTTCTTGTGCTAATTATTAGATGTATGTAGACCACCCCACACAAGCCATGGACTCTCACAGCCCAGGGAGAAAATGCAGAACTCTGTGGACTCTCATTGATGATGATGATTATGATTATGATGATTACTATTACAGTTTTTATGCATTCAATAACCTTGTTATGGCGTACTTAACTCTAGACCTGACATATATTTCACCGTGTATCGTTCAATAACTTGTCAGTTTATTTTTTGACTAGATCAGTTTGATTATAACTGACTCCTAGGTGGGTCCCACTGTTTGAAACTGTTTTCTGAAATTGGTTTTGGTGTTGATTCTTACACCTTGCATGGTTAGTCGCCAAGGAAACAGTTTTCCTTTCAAGTTAACCAGCTTGGTTTTCTTGCATTATATATTATGACTGAGGGATTTGACTTTTTTTGTGTGGACAAATCTCCTCAAAAGTTCCTTATTTTGTTTTTGCTGGGCAGATTACTTTACGAGCCAAGTCTTGGAGAATATGTGAGGTTTTGTTACCATGTTTACTATATCCAACGTTTACTGTTGTCCCAGTAGTTTGTCGTTTGTACAAAAACTTGTTGCCTCTTGACTATCCCCCCCTTCATGTGACAGAATGCACAATTGTTTTACAAAGTTGAGGAATTAATTGTTATTTTCCATACATTTTGCACATGGCCAGTATTTGAAGTGGGGGTAAAGTTCAAGTTTGGTTTTTTGAGCCTTTGACTAATTTTTATCAAAATTTAGACACCGATCGGTAAGGTTAATTGATTGAGGACAAAGTACTATTTAATTTGGTTTGAAAGAAAACAATTTCCTTATTAACATTACCCTATGTTTAAAGCCACATGATGGCACAATGTGATCAGCATTTTTTTGCAAATTATTTAGCAGCCTTCTACCTCAGCCTGAGTTAATGAATAGGTTTCTTTATTTCTCATTTCCACAGAATTTAACATTGACAACTGGCATAGTACCTCCTGGCCCATACACTCAATTACTCACTGTACTTAGTATAGTCAAACTCTTATACCCGATACTCCCTCTAGTTGTCCCGCCCAGCCACATTAGCCATACCCAGCCCACTCCCTTAGCTACCCTTCCCATGTAACCCCACCCCTCCCATGTATTCTGATTGCCCCTGTATGTATGTCACTACCCCTGCGAGAGTGCCCTTCGAGGCTTGGCTCGAACCTAGACCATTTCCAGGGAGCACACCATGTGTGCCGCAACCAGACACTGCTAGGGTAGATCCTTCCTGACCGTTCTCTAGTTTACAAGACAACCTTCATGTTTCTCTTTGAGTGGAAAGCTGATTTGTTCATTTCTCTCCATGATTTGACACCTAACTTTTGTCTGACTGTTCCACAGTATTGCATGTATCAGTTTCTGTATTTCTGCTACACGTACCGACTTGGAGGATTATGAAAAACCCTTAAAAACCTTGGTAGACAATGGAGATGAATCTTCTGTAACCCGAGCTCTGTGCCCCGACAGGCTGACTGACCAACGGCGACTCTGCTCGTCCGTCTTCGCTGTAGTTTGTACGCAGCTGCAACAGATCAAACCTGTACTCTATTCATTCTCCTTTTCTACCAGAAAAAAATAAATTATTCTAGTAAACAGTCGTTGTGTGTTCTTATTGCATGGTGAATGTTGTGTTATATAGGGCTCACTTCACGGGTGTCGTGAAGATACGGGGTATATGGCTTAAGTAACCTATGCTTGTCGTAAAACGCGACTATGCTGGTTGTAAGAGGATATTACGGGATTGGCTGGTCAGGCTTGCTGACTTGGTTGATGCATGTCATTGTATCCCAATTGTGAAGATCAATGCTCATGATGTCCATCACAGGATTTTCTGGCCCACACTCCATTATTTACAGACCGCCATCATATAGCTGGAATACTGCTGAGTGCAGGGGTTAAACAACAAACAGATACCATTTATCTTATGAGTGGTTTCAAAACCTATCTAACAAGCAAAATCGCACCATTTTAGCATTGATTCAATGCATATTTTGTCCATGCTCATGATCACAGTGAGGCATTAATGCATAACATAATGGTCATTGATGACATCATCCAGCTTTCTACTCCAACCTGGTGACCTCCAGAAGAAAGTTGTGTGTATTGTCAAGGCTGGTGATAATGCAAACTAGTCCTTTGTACCCCTCATGACAATTTCCGTAATTATGGTGACGAGTTGGTATTGACAAATAAATAATTTTCATGCCATTTTAAACAAATTGTTGCTTTCGGATATATAATATATATTTATTTAGTATTTCATCGGTACAATTTTGTCAAATTTGACTAATGCACAAGAAACTTTTCAATTACAATCTGGGCAAAAGTAGTCCGCCATGATATGACATCAGACCATCACCATGGAGTAGCCAATCATGGACGAGGAAATCGATTGTTTGATACCATTTTTCTCCAATGCGTTTCTCACACGCAGACGTGTAAGAAGCTGCAGTCATCAATATTCAGTGCCGTAGCCAGCCGGGGGGGCAGTTGCCCCACCTGGATTTTTTTATAGAAAACATTTTTCCTTGTGTAAGTTAACTTGAATAAGAAACAAATAATCTTATTTGCACCCCCCTGTCAAAAAAGTTAACTATGGCCTTGATATTCCAGCTACATCTGGCCATCTGATTTACCATTTAGAAAGTCGTACGTGGTCAAGAATCCACCATTTGTCTTCACTCACTTCACTTCAAAACTGTCAAAGTAATCAATATTTTTCAGGTGAAGTTTTTAATAAGAAAAATTGTACTGAACCTACAGCTTGTGTAAACAGCACTTTTCACTCAAAACTCAAGGACCCAGGCCTTGTTTTCAAGCAGCATCGACATAAAATGTGTGCATTATTGGGTATAGTTGTACTACATGTGACCAAAGCCGTTACTGCTGATTGAGGACCCACTCTGCTCTGTAATGTATTTTAGGGTCCTCTGTATGTAAACCGTACAAACTTAAAGGATGGTGTGGGTTTTACATGACTGCATCTTGTTTAATACAAACACACACACACACACACACACACACACAATGTAGGCTTATAACAATTTTATTGTAAGTTTCAACTGTTCACATTGTACATCAACATTATGCTGTCATACACTATCGAGAAATCAGAATGTTTTTTGTTATCCTCTCGTCTTGTAGCTGTGCTCCCATAAACAATTTTGATAGTGACTTCACAAAAGGGCATGCATCATGATCTACGACATTTCAGCGAGTGAGTGAGGTGGGTTTAACGCCGCTTTTAACAGTATTCCAGTTATATCGCGGCGTGTCAGCTTAATGTGGGAGGAAAGCCCGAAGTGATGCAGGTCTAAGACGTTTACCACTTCGGTGAAACCCACGAGCACGGGTATGGTGCTGACAAACCTAGAAACATAATCGGGGCGAACCGGGATTCGAACCCACAATCATAGGTTTCTGGCGTGCCCAAGGGACGCAACTCTGCACAGCGAATCGCCTTAGACCTGTGCCCCCCTACGACATTTCAAGGGAAAATGATGCTCAATGGTCATTTCCTATCAACAACTGCTATGGTTGTATGTTATTGTATCCCAATTGCGTGGATTGATACTCATGATGTCAATCACTGGATTGTCTGGTCCAGACTCGATTATTTACAGACTGCCGTCATATAGCTGGAATATTGCTGGGTGCGGCGTTATACAACAAACAAACTTATAGCTGCTGAATGAACACAAAGAGCTTGTCATTTGATTTGCTCAGATTATGATTGGAGAATTGCATCAATGTCTCCTCTTACATCAAGCATAGGTTGCTTGGAACTTGTATTCTTTACTCAGAATAATTGGTATGTCAATGACCTCAAATTTTGAAATAAATCAGTACAGTGCTAGAAGTCTAGATATATTAAAATCGAGTAGTGTCATGATCTGAGTTAAACCCAATGACATCACAGGAATGTCAGTGATATAAATTGGCACTTGTCCTATAGTCGTTGCCAAACGACCCGTGTAGAGCCGGGGTAGAATAGGTCTTCAGCAACCCATGCTTGCTGTAAAAGGCGACTATGCTTGTTGTAAGAGGTGACTAATAGGATCGGGTGGTCAAGCTCACTGACTTGGTTGAAGCATGCCATCGATCCCAATTGCATGGATCGATGATCATGATATTAATCACTGGATTGTCTGGTCCAAACTCGATTATTTACAGACCGCTGTCATATAGCTGAAATATTGCTGAGTGCGGCGTAAAACAACAAACCAACCAACCAACCAACCAAACCAACCTTGCTTAACTTCCCAATAGTAAAGGTATCATAAGGACTAGTAGAAATTTGCCATTTTAAAGGATTTTGCTATATGTTATCATAATAAGGACTAGTGGACTAAAACTGTTAGTTTCTAACACAGAAAGTCATCATGCAGTTGATGACATCATCTGTCAGACCAAACAAAACAGACAAAGGAGAACCGGAGACTTTCTGTAAAGTTTTAATGAACAGAGTATATTATGAACGCTCCTTTGTCATGTAGCCATGGATACCTTATCTCGCACACAAATGGGTAGCCTAGTGGTTAAATTGTTGGGTCATCTCGTCCAAGACCCGGGTTCGATTCCCCACCTGGGTACAATGTGTGAAGCCCATTTCTGTTGTACCCTGCCGTGATATTGCTGGAATATTGCTGAAAGCGGCGTAACATGCTCACTCACTCACCTGGGTACAATGTGTGAAGCCCTTTGCTGGTGTCCCCCGCCGTGATATTGCTGGAATATTGCTGAAAGCCGCATAAACCATGCTCACTCACTCACTCTGAGCACCTCACTAGACCATGCTCACTCTGCCCTCAGCCATGTCACAAAGTGAGTGAGTGAGTGAGTGAGTATAGTTTTGCGCCGCTTTTAGCAATATTCCAGCAATATCACGGCGGGGTACACCAGAAATGGGCTTCAAACATTGTACCCATGTCGGGAATCGAAACCGGTTCTTCGGCGTGAGGAGCGAACGCTTTAACCACTAGGCTACCCGACCGCCCCTGTCACAAAGTGACTTGGGTATAATGTGCACACACGCGCGAACGCACGCACGCACACACACGCACACTACTATATCCTGCATACCCTCTGCATGGTACTCAACTTCATTATATACTATTCAAAAGAAGTAGAAGAACACACAGTTCTTTCCTATTGACTATAGCTCTCTGTCCTGGCATGACAGATTAGCTATAGTCATGTGAAAGAATCTGGAGTTCTTTGAACTTATTTTGTGTAGTATTCACAATGTTTCTATGTATCTGACAGTGGCACCACATCTCACCAGGCGGACAAGTTAGATATGACCAGTGGTGTCTACCCCTGATTGTAACACATGTAATTAACACAGTATCTGAAATACATATATCCATATGTATGTAAATATAAATCAATGATGTAGACTACCGTATTCGACGTAATAAGCGCCCCGCTCTAATAAGGGCCCACGGCGATATATGCTAGTATATTGGCTAGTGAACAATCTCAATTAGCACCCCTTCCAGTTGATCAATGTACACAAGACTTATTTATTCATGTATAATATGCACTCGTGTGGGCAATTAAATCCTGGAAAAATATATATGTCGTATATAAACATTTCAGGCTGTCAGCATAAACCACGAGATTTACGAACTTCAACTCACCAAAATAATATTCCAATTAGAGAGTCCTATTTTTAATTTTGAGAGCGCCCTGGGGGCTTATTACGTCGAAAACGGTAATAAGATAAATATACGGCAAAGGACAAGATAGGATAACAGCCATGTTGTCCTTTGTTAAGCTGCAGAATACATTTAAATATTGGTTTGAAAGTTATCAGACATGATCATATGAGTGACACATTTTTCTTACATTTGCAAGTTTTGTACTCCTGACATTATGAAACATAAAAGTAGGGCTAAAACGAGGGAAGAGGCTCATTTTTTCGAGTTTCATGTTAAAAATGTAACTTTGAGCTAATCTATATCTGATTCAGCTGAGTCAAAGATTTGCTCATGTTAAAATGTTAGAAAAATGCTACTTAACACCCTTATCCCTTAATTAGCCTTTTAAGAGCCTTACCTATTTATTTATTACTACGTCCAATATACACAGACAGCCTCCGTGGTCTAGTGGTAGAGCATGCGCCTGGAGAGCGGAGGGTCCGGTGTTCATACAAAAAGACGTTAAGAGATGGTACTTGTTGTTACCCTGTCTGGCGCTCAGCATTAAGGGGCTAAAACAAGACTGGTCGCCCCGGAGTCAGTATACTGTGTCTGAGTGGGGTATTCATGTTAAACTGCGGCATGATATCTCAGTGGGCTTGCACCATAAATCAGTCCGGACTTTCATCTCACCTCACCCAAACACACAACTGTTGAAATGAGTGACTGAGTATGGTTTTACGCCGCTTTTAGCAATATTCCAGCAACATCACGGCGGGGGACACCAGAAATGGGCTTCACACATTGTACCCATATCGGGAATCGAACCCAGGTTTTCAGAGTGACGAACCAACGCTTTAACCATTAGGCTACCCGACCGCCCCTGTTTAAATGAACATCTGTATGAACCAATCAGATAACTTTCACAATGATTAACGAAAGATTCCTCTTTTCTTAAATTATGCATATCCCATGGGCCAACAAGAACCCTTATCCTTCCTCGCCCTTTGTATAATGAACAAAAAGTTAGGGATCATTTATATTTGGGGGGATACTTTTTGACGTGAAGACTGAGCAAACAATTGAATAAACATATCCTCAAAAATATTCCTGATCCCTAACCTTGTTTTAAAGTATATGTACAGTCAGGACAGAACGTGCCCCGATGCCCAACGTGAGTCGTGCTCTGGATGTCAGCAATAACATGGGTGAACACGATTCTCCCCTGGCAGACAGATAGACCAGTTATTCCACAACTTGACTTTGTGCTACGTGAAGGAGTCAACTTTAATGGTCAAAGCAACTTCTGGTCGCCGGGCAGCTGGTCCATCTCCATACGCTTTCTTTCTCTCTTCTCTCCTGAAATGACCACAAACCAGTTAGAAATAGTGAGTGAGTTGGGTTTAATGCCGCTTTAAACATTATTCCAGTTATATCGCGGCGTGTCAGCTTAATGTGGGTGGAAAGCCCGAAGTGATGCAGGTCTCAGGCGTTTACCACTTCGGCGAAACCCACGAGCATGGGTATGGTGCTGACAACCCTAGAAACATAATCGGGGTGAACCGGGATTCGAACCCACAATCATAGGTTTCTGGCGTGTCCCCCCAGTTAGTAATAAGCACCCTCCATGGTTTATATTGGGACAGACAACATTTATATTCGGTATTAATAAACAGGGAGGAAGTACTGGGATCTTGTTTGAGAGAGAATATCTTTTTCAGTCACTGGTTAAAAAAATACAATTTTGTTCTCTGAAAGGATCAGCTAAACAAATTTTGATTACCCACAACACGATTATTTAGAACATCCAGCTTGCCTTCTGAACGATTATTTAGAACATCCAGCTTGCCTTCTGAACGATTATTTAGAACATCCAGCTTGCCTGGTGAACGAATATTTAAGCGGTAAAACCCTGGACAAATAATTTCCTGCATTTTGGGAACAAGTTGGGCCTCCGAAGCTGAACATATACTACACAAAACAAGTTAAGGAACACCCACAGATGGAAGGTCGTGTGTTGTAGTACCCATCAGTCTTGACAGAAGAATATAGTCATGTGAAAAAACTAGGTGTTGTTTAACTTCTTTTGAGCAGTATATGTCCTATGATAGATAAAATGTGTGTGTGTGTGTGTTTGTTGTTTTACACTGCACTGAGCAATATTCAAGCTATATGACGTGTAAATAATCGAGTTGGGACTAGACAATCTAGTGATTGACATCATGAGCATCGATCCATGCAATTGATCTTGACACATGTCCTGTGTGTTTGTGCATGTGTCCTGTGTGTGTGCATGTGACGTGTGTGCATGTGTCATGTGTGTGAGCATGAGTCATGTGTGTGCATGTGTCATGTGTGTGTGTGCATGTGTCATGTGTGTGTGCATGTGTCATGTGTGTGTGCATGTGTCATGTGTGTGTGCATGTGTCTTGTGTGTGCATGTGTCATGTGTGTGCATGTGTTATGTGTGTGTGTGCATGCATGTGTCATGTGTTGTGTGTGCATGTGTGTGTGTGCATGTGTCATGTGTGTGTGCATGTTTCATGTGTGTGTCCATGTGTCATGTATGCATGCATGTATCATGTGTGTGTACATGTGTCATATGTGTGTGTGCATGTGTGTGTGTGTGTGTGTGTGTCCATGTGTCTGCATGTGTGTGTGAGCATATGTGTGTGTGCATGTGTCATGTGTCATGTGTGTGTCCATGTGTCATGTATGTGTGCATGTATCATGTGTGTGTACATGTGTCATATGTGTGTGTGCATGTGTCATGTGTGTGTGCATGTGTCATATGTGTGTGTGCATGTGTCATGTGTGTGTGCATGTGTTATGTGTGCATGTGTGTGTGCATGTGTTATGTGTGCATGTGTCATGTGTGTGTGCATGTGTCATGTGTGTGTGCATCTGTTATGTGTGTGTGCATGTGTGTGTGTGCATGTGTCATGTGTGTGTGCATGTGTTATGTGTGCATGTGTTATGTGTGCATGTGTGTGTGCATGTGTTATGTGTGTTCATGTGTCATGTGTGTGTCCATGTGTCATGTATGTGTGCATGTATCATGTGTGTGTCCATGTGTCATGTGTGTGTGCATGTGTCATGTGTGTGTGCATGTGTCATATGTGTGTGTGCATGTGCATTCGCATGTGTGTGTCCATGTGTGTGTGCATGTGTGTGTGTGTCATGTGTGTCCATGTGTGATGTGTGTGTGTGTCCATGTGTCATGTGTGTGTGCATGCGTGTGTGTGCATGTGTCATGTGTGTGTGCATGTTTCATGTGTGTGTCCATGTGTCATGTATGCGTGCATGTATCATGTGTGTGTACATGTGTCATATGTGTGTGTGCAAGTGTCATGTGTGTGTGCATGTGTGTGTGTCCATGTGTCATGTGTGTGCGCATGTCTGTGTGAGCATGTGTGTGTGCATGTGTCATGTGTATGTGTCATGTGTGTGTCCATGTGTCATGTATGTGTGCATGTATCATGTGTGTGTACATGTGTCATATGTGTGTGCATGTGTCATGTGTGTGTGCATGTGTCATATGTGTGAGTGCATGTGTCATGTGTGTGTGCATGTGTGCATGTGTTATGTGTGCATGTGTTATGTGTGTGTGCATGTGTCATGTGTGTGTGCATGTGTGTGTGTGCATGTGTCATGTGCATCTGTTATGTGTGTGTGCATGTGTGTGTGTGCATGTGTCATGTGTGTGTGCATGTGTTATGTGTGCATGTGCCATGTGTGTGTGCATGTGTGTGTGCATGTGTTATGTGTGTTCATGTGTCATGTGTGTGTCCATGTGTCATGTATGTGTGCATGTATCATGTGTGTTTCCATGTGTCTTGTGTGTGTGCATGTGTCATGTGTGTGTGCATGTGTCATATGTGTGTGTGCATGTGCATTCGCATGTGTGTGTCCATGTGTCATGTGTGTGAGCATGTGTTATGTGTGCATGTGTTATGTGTGCATGTGTGTGTGCATGTTTCATGTGTGTGTGCATGTGTCATGTGTGTGTCCATGTGTCATGTGTGTGTGTGCATGTGTCATGTGTGTGTGCATGTGTTATGTGTGCATGTGTTATATGTGCATGTGTGTGTCCATGTGTCATGTGTGTGTCAATGTGTCATGTATGTGTGCATGTATTGTGTGTGTACATGTGTCATATGTGTGTGTGCATGTGTGTGTGCATGTGTCATATGTGTGTGCAAGTGTCATGTGTGTGTCCATGTGTCATGTGTGTGTGCATGTGTCATGTGTGTGTGCATGTGTTATGTGTGCATGTGTTATGTGTGCATGTGTGTGTCCATGTGTCATGTGTGTGTCCATGTTTCATGTATGTGTGCATGTATTGTGTGTGTACATGTGTCATATGTGTGTGTGCATGTGTCATGTGTGTGTGCATGTGTCATATATGTGTGTCCATGTGTCATGTGTCATGTGTGTGTGCATGTGTCATGTGTGTGTGCATGTGTCATGTGTGTGTGCATGTGTTATGTGTGTGTGCATGTTTCATGTGTGTGTCCATGTGTCATGTATGTGTGCATGTATCATGTGTGTGTACATGTGTCATATGTGTGCATGTGTCATGTATGTGTGCATGTATCATGTGTGTGTACATGTGTCATATGTGTGTGTGCATGTGTCTGTGCATGTGTGTGCATGTGCATGTGTCATGTACATGTGTCTGTCCATGTGTCATGTGTGTGTGCATGTGTCATGTGTGTGTGCATGTGTGTCCATGGATCATGTGTGTGTGCATGTATCATGTGTGTGTACATGTGTCATATGTGTGTGTGCATGTGTCTGTGCATGTGTCATTTGTGTGTGCATGTGTCATGTGTGTGTCCATGTGTCATGTGTGTGTGCATGTGTCATGTGTGTGTGCATGTGTGTCCATGGATCATGTGTGTGTGCATGTGTCATGTGTGTGTGTGCATGTGTGTGTGTGCATGTATCATGTGTGTGTGCATGTGTCATGTGCATGTGTGCATGTATCATGTGTGTGTGAATGTGTCATATGTGGGTGTGTGCATGTGACATGTATGTGTGCATGTGTCATGTGTGTGTGCATGTGTCATGTGTGTGCATGTGTCATATGTGTGTGTGTGCATGTGTCGTGTGTGTATGCATGTGTGCATGTGTTATGTGTGTGTTTGCATATGTCATGTGTGTGTGCATGTGTCATATGTGTGTGCATGTGCCATATGTGTGCATGTGTGATGTTTGTGTGAATGTGTGTGCATGTCATGTGTGTTTGCATGTGTGTGTGCATGTGTACTGTGTGTGTGCATGTGTCATGTGTGTGTGCATGTGGTATTAGTGTCAGACAGTTTATGTGTATTTGGTTATTCTGTAGTTCGAAAAATGTGAGAAAATTTGCAAAATGTCTCGAGTCACCAAGCTACCTACATCTTTTTCTTTTCGTCAGCAGCCCGCTGAATTTCCTCTCGACCTAAGAGATCCTCCTCTGTGCTGAAGTCGTCCATGTTGTCAGGGTCTCCCTGCAGCGTCTGTGGCAACAAGCAACATCTGCTACAGACTGGACACACAGAGTCCATCAGTTATACATGAAGTTCATAACGGAAGAGGACCATGGTCCGAGATCCGTGGTCTAATGGATACAGGGTCTGTCCAGAGAGCAGAAGGTCCGCGGACATGGCGAGTCCATCAGTTATACATGAAGTTCATAACGGAAGAGGACCATGGTGCGAGATCCGTGGTCTAATGGATACAGGGTCTGCCCAGAGAGCATTTACTATTGTTATCAAGACGAAACATGAGTTGGAATTTGAAATACATATTTCAACCAACCGCCAAAAAGATTTTAGACAAAATATCTGTAAAGCCCCGAAAAAGAGTCTGGCCTTGGTAAAGATGTATAATTTCTGAAATGAATTTTGGGAAGAAACAGGATGACAGTGATGTCGTACCTTGACGCCGAACACATCTCCATCCTGTATATGGTAGGGAGTCTGACGCATACTGCTCTTGTTGGCCCCGCCTCTCTTCTTCTTGCCCTTCTGATTGGTTGGCTGTCAAATAGATATTATTATTATCATTATTATCATTATTATTGTTATTATTATTATTATTTAATGGATTCGTATGACAGGCCTTCCAATTCATAAATGGATCTCATTTTTACCCTAGTTATTGGATCAGTTTGCACTTGAATTTCATTCTCAGCTTCCTGGGGAGCATACAAACTAAACAGCCTGTGTGGCACTGGAAGGTTAACAGTCACACTACCATCTCATCCTACCGGGTACCCATTCACTGGGCATATTCTGGACAAAGTCACTTGCCTGAGGAGACACCTAATGTTACATGTGCTTCAGTGTGGGGCAGGGCTGAGGCCCAAGCAACTCTCAAGGTATCTATCAAAGAGTGAGTGAGTATGGTTTTATGCCGCTTTTAGCAATATTCCAGCAATATCACGGCGGGGGACATCAGAAAAGGGCTTCAAACATTGTACCCATGTCAGGAATCGAACCCTTGGCTTCGACGTGACGAGTGAATGCTTTAACCACTAGGCTTCCCGACCACCCCATCTATCAAAGAACATCACACTTAAACTGATAGCAGTGAATTAGTCATGGCATTTAGAATTAGTCCTTGTGATCCCATAACAGCAACGATTGACATTCCAATGTGCAGTCTGATCACTCATTTACGAGTGAATAAGAATTGTTGCACACCTCTAATAACAAAATTCATGCAGGGTAGAGAAGACAGCAGGGTAGACAAGACATAGCAGGGTGGACAAGACATAGCAGGGTAGACAAGACAGCTGGGTAGACAAGACATAGCAGGGTAGACAAGACATAGCAGGGTAGACAAGACAAAGCAGGGTAGACAAGACATAGGAGGGTAGACAAGACAGAGCAGAGTAGACATGACAGAGCAGGGTAGACAAGACAGAGCAGAGTAGACAAGACAGAGCAGAGTAGACAAGACATAGGAGGGTAGACAAGACAGAGCAGAGTAGACAAGACAGAGCAGGGTAGACAAGACAGAGCAGAGTAGACAAGACAGAGCAGGGTAGACAAGACAGAGCAGAGTAGACAAGACAGAGCAGAGTAGACAAGACATAGGAGGGTAGACAAGACAACAGGGTAGACAAGACATAGCAGGGTAGACAAGACAGAGCAGAGTAGACAAGACAGAGCAGGGTAGACAAGACAGAGCAGAGTAGACAAGACAGAGCAGAGTAGACAAGACATAGCAGGATAGACAGGACATAGCAGAGTAGACAAGACATAGCAGGATAGACAAGACAGAGCAGAGTACACAAGACATAGCAGGATAGACAAGACATAGCAGAGTAGACAAGACATAGCAGGGTAGACAAGACAGCATGGTAGACAAGACATAGCAGGGTAGACAAGACATAGCAGGATAGACAAGACATAGCAGAGTAGACAAGACATAGCAGAGTAGACAAGACATAGCAGAGTAGACAAGACATAGCAGGGTAGACAAGACATAGCAGGTTAGACAAGACATAGCAGGGTAAACAAGACATGGCAGGGTAGTCTAGACATAGCATGGTAGACAAGACATAGCAGAGTAGACAAGACATAGCAGGGTAGACAAGACAGCTGGGTAGACAAAACATAGCAGGGTAGACAAGACATAGCAGGTAGACAAGACAGCTGGGTAGACAGGACATAGCAGGGTAGACAAGACATAGCAGGGTAGACAAGACATAGCAGGGTAGACAAGACATAGCAGAGTAGACAGGACATAGCAGGGTAGACAAGACATAGCAGGGTAGACAAGACATAGCAGGGTAGACAGGACATAGCAGGGTAGACAAGACACAGCAGGGTAGACAAGACAAAGCAGGGTAGACAAGACACAGCAGGGTAGACAAGACATAGCAGGGTAGACAGGACATAGCAGGGTAGACAAGACAGCAGGGTAGACAAGACATGGCAGGGTAGACAAGACATAGCAGGGTAGACAAGACACAGCAGGGTAGACAAGACATAGCAGGATAGACAAGACATAGCAGGATAGACAAGACAGCAAGGTAGACAAGACATAGCAGGGTAGACAAGACAAAGCAGGGTAGACAAGACAGCAGGGTAGACAAGACATAGCAGGGTAGACAAGACATATCAGGGTAGACAAGACATAGCAGGGTAGACAAGACATAGCAGGATAGACAAGACAGCAGGGTAGACAAGACATAGCAGGGTAGACAAGACAGCAGGGTAGACAAGACATAGCAGGGTAGACAGGACATAGCAGGGTAGACAAGACATAGCAAGATAGACAAGACAGCAGGGTAGACAAGACATAGCAGGGTAGAGAAGACAGCAGGGTAGACAAGACATAGCAGGGTAGACAAGACATAGCAGGGTAGACAAGACAGCAGGGTAGACAAGACATAGCAGGGTAGACAGGACATAGCAGGGTAGACAAGACATAGCAAGATAGACAAGACAGCAGGGTAGACAAGACATAGCAGGGTAGACAAGACAGCAGGGTAGACAAGACAGCTGGGTAGACAAGACACAGCAGAGTGGACAAGACATAGCAGGGTAGACAAGACAGCTGGGTAGATAAGACATAGCAGGGTAGACAAGACATAGCAGGGTAGACAAGACATAGCAGGGTAGACAGGACATAGCAGGGTAGACAAGACATAGCAAGATAGACAAGACAGCAGGGTAGACAAGACATAGCAGGGTAGACAAGACATAGCAAGATAGACAAGACAGCAGGGTAGACAAGACATAGCAAGATAGACAAGACAGCAGGGTAGACAAGACAGCTGGGTAGACAAGACACAGCAGAGTGGACAAGACATAGCAGGGTAGACAAGACAGCTGGGTAGACAAGACATAGCAGGGTAGACAAGACATAGCAGGGTATACAAGACATAGCAGGGTAGACAAGACAGCTGGGTAGACAAGACATAGCAGAGTGGACAAGACAGCAGGGTAGACAAGACATAGCAGGGTAGACAAGACATAGCAGGGTAGACAAGACATAACAGGGTTGACAAGACATAGCAGGGTAGACAAGACATAGCAGGGTAGACAAGACATAGCAGGGTAGACAAGACATAGCAGGGTAGACAGGACATAGCAGGGTAGACAAGACATAGCAAGACAGACAAGACAACAGGGTAGACAAGACATAGCAGGGTAGACAAGACATAGCAGGGTAGACAAGACAGCTGGGTAGACAAGACACAGCAGAGTGGACAAGACAGCAGGGTAGACAAGACATAGCAGGGTAGACAAGACAGCAGGGTAGACAAGACACAGCAGGGTAGATAAGACATAGCAGGGTAGACAAGACAGCTGGGTAGACAAGACAGAGCAGGGTAGACAAGACATAGCAGGGTAGACAAGACATAGCAGGGTAGACAAGACAGCTGGGTAGACAAGACATAGCAGGGTAGACAAGACATAGCAGGGTAGACAAGACATAACAGGGTTGACAAGACATAGCAGGGTAGACAAGACATAGCAGGGTAGACAAGACATAGCAGGGTAGACAAGACATAGCAGGGTAGACAGGACATAGCAGGGTAGACAAGACATAGCAGGGTAGACAAGACATAGCAGGGTAGACAAGACATAGCAGGGTAGACAGGACATAGCAGGGTAGACAAGACATAGCAAGATAGACAAGACAGCAGGGTAGACAAGACAGCAGGGTAGACAAGACATAGCAGGGTAGACAAGACATAGCAGGGTTGACAAGACATAGCAGGGTAGACAAGACATAGCAGGGTAGACAAGACATAGCAGGGTAGACAAGACATAGCAGGGTAGACAGGACATAGCAGGGTAGACAAGACATAGCAAGATAGACAAGACAGCAGGGTAGACAAGACATAGCAGGGTAGACAAGACATAGCAGGGTAGACAAGACAGCTGGGTAGACAAGACACAGCAGAGTGGACAAGACAGCAGGGTAGACAAGACACAGCAGGGTAGATAAGACATAGCAGGGTAGACAAGACAGCTGGGTAGACCAGACAGAGCAGGGTAGACAAGACATAGCAGGGTAGACAAGACATAGCAGGGTAGACAAGACAGAGCAGGGTAGACAAGACATAGCAGGATAGACAAGACATAGCAGAGTAGACAAGACATAGCAGGGTAGAGAAGACAGCAGGGTAGACAGGACATTGCAGGATAGACAAGACATGGCAGGGTAGACAAGACATAGCAGGGTAGACAAGACATAGCAGGGTAGACAAGACATAGCAGGGTAGACAAGACACAGCAGGGTAGACAGGACATAGCAGGGTAGACAAGACATAGCAGGGTAGAGAAGACAGCAGGGTAGACAGGACATTGCAGGATAGACAAGACATGGCAGGGTAGACAAGACATAGCAGGGTAGACAAGACATAGCAGGGTAGACAGGACATAGCAGGGTAGACAAGACATAGCAGGGTAGACAAGACATAGCAGGGTAGACAAGACATAGCAGGGTAGACAAGACATAACAGGGTAGACAGGACATAGCAGGGTAGACAAGACATAGCAGGGTAGACAAGACATAGCAGGGTAGACAAGACATAGCAGGGTAGACAAGACATAACAGGGTTGACAAGACATAGCAGGGTAGACAAGACATAGCAGGGTAGACAGGACATAGCAGGGTAGACAAGACATAGCAGGGTAGACAAGACATAGCAGGGTAGACAGGACATAGCAGGGTAGACAGGACATAGCAAGATAGACAAGACAGCAGGGTAGACAAGACATAGCAGAGTAGACAAGACAGCTGGGTAGACAAGACACAGCAGGGTAGACAGGACATAGCAGGGTAGACAAGACATAGCAGGGTAGACAAGACACAGCAGAGTGGACAAGACAGCAGGGTAGACAAGACATAGCAGGGTAGACAAGACATAGCAGGGTAGACAAGACATAGCAGGATAGACAAGACATAGCAGAGTAGACAAGACATAGCAGGGTAGACAAGACACAGCAGAGTGGACAAGACATAGCAGGGTAGACAAGACAGCTGGGTAGACAAGACATAGCAGGGTAGACAAGACACAGCAGAGTAGACAAGACAGCAGGGTAGACAAGACATGGCAGGGTAGACAAGACATAGCAGGATAGACAAGACATAGCAGGGTAGACAAGACAGAGCAGGGTAGACAAGACACAGCAGAGTAGACAAGACATAGCAGAGTAGATAAGACATAGCAGGGTAGACAAGACATAGCAGGGTAGACAAGACATAGCAGGGTAGACAAGACATAGCAGGGTAGACAAGAAAGCAGGGTAGACAAGACACAGCAGGGTAGACAAGACATAGCTGGGTAGACAAGACAGCAGGGTAGACAAGACACAGCAGAGTAGACAAGACATAGCTGGGTAGACAAGACAGCAGGGTAGACAAGACATAGCAGGTTAGACAAGACACAGCAGGGTAGACAAGACAGCTGGGTAGACAAGACATCGTAGAGTAGACAAGACATAGGAGTGTAGACAAGACATAGCAGGGTAGACAAGACATAGCAGGGTAGACAAGACATAGCAGGGTAGACAAGACATAGCAGGGTAGACAAGACATAGCTGGGTAGACAAGACATAGCAGGGTAGACAAGACAGAGCAGAGTAGACAAGACAGAGCAGAGTAGACAAGACATAGCAGAGTAGACAAGACATAGCAGTGTAGACAAGACATAGCAGAGTAGACAAGACATAGCAGGGTAGACAAGACATAGCTGGGTAGACAAGACATAGCAGAGTAGACAAGACATAGCAGAGTGGACAAGACATAGCAGGGTAGACAAGACATAACAGGGTAGACAAGACACAGCAGGTTAGACAAGACATAGCAGGGTAGACAAGACACAGCAGGGTAGACAAGTCATAGCAGGGTAGACAAGACATAACAGGGTAGACAAGACAGCAGGGTAGACAAGACATAGCAGAGTAGACAAGACACAGCAGGGTAGACAAGACAGCTGGGTAGACAAGACATAACAGGGTAGACAAGACATAGCAGGGTAGACAAGACATAGCAGGTTAGACAAGACATAGCAGGGTAGACAAGACACAGCAGGGTAGACAAGACACAGCAGGGTAGACAAGACAGCTGGGTAGACAAGACATAACAGGGTAGACAGGACATAGCAGGGTAGACAAGACATAGCAGGTTAGACAAGACATAGCAGGGTAGACAAGACACAGCAGGGTAGACAAGACATAACAGGGTAGACAAGACATAACAGGGTAGACAAGACATAGCAGGGTAGACAAGACATAGCAGGGTAGACAAGACATAACAGGGTAGACAAGACATAGGCATCACACACTGTACCGACGTGGGCAGTCATGTAAGTGTGCTGTAGACACTGTGGATATTTAGTCCAGTCTAACTAGCAAGGCACCCACCACAAATTGCAACATTTTACACTCGGAAGCTATCCCTTTATAACATTAGACAGTCTAGCAAAATCTGAGTGATGGAACACTGTCACCTTGACCTTAACGTTAGGGGGGTCACCACCTCTCTGAAGATTCTTTGCAGTATTAGGAACTGCTTTGTTTAAATTCATTAATCTAATTTAACAATATTATTTTTATTCAAGACTATTGTTGCTGTAATCACTTGCCTTCTGTTCTTGGACAACCAGCCACTTGAACTGTCGAGAGATGTGTTTGGCAATGATAATTTGCTCGACAGGAAGTGCCAGAAAGTCAGCCACGGCCTGCTTGAAGTCGAGGGGGGAGACGCCGTGTGAGACGTCCCAGATGAACTCTTGCTCTACGTCGTACGTCTGCGTTCCAGGGAGCCTCTGTTTGATATTGAGAACGATCTCGTTTGAGCTGAAAAATTGACCCTTTCCTTAAAACCTTTATTTAGAATAGGTTGAACAACATCACCTTATATATAATATAATTTTCAGCCTCACACAAAAATGATAAAATTGACAAAAATAATTTCCCTTAAATAAACAGAAGACACATGCTCTTTTCGTCCCCTGGGGATTTGGGGTAAGGATACAGGTCCCCAGTATCCAAAGCTTGTTGTAAAAGGAGACTAAATGGATCAGTTGGTCAGGCTCACTGACTTGGTTAATTGCATGTCATTATATCCCAATTGTGTGGATCAATGCTTATCATATCAATCACAAGATTGTTTGGTCTAGACTCGATTATTTACCGACCATCAGCATTTAACTGGAATATATCTGAGCAATCAACTAAAAAATTCAAGGAATATTTCAGCATATTCTTCCCCCAAATCCAACAGTCAGACTTACATAATCCTACCTACATAATGTCTTAAATACAACTGTGATGAGAATTTTGTTTATCATATGTTTGTTCGTTTCTCTGTTTTTTAACTTGACAGTTATCACTCAATGCATATGATCACAGTTCATTATGACTTTGATAACATATCCAAGCATGCAACAGCCACTCACTCACCCTAGGTTCTCCTCGTGAGGAACAATCTGGACGGCAATACTGCTCGCGGATGTCACTTTAAGTCGCCTGGAAGCAAAGATTTCAGAACAACAATGTTATGAATTACGTCTTTGAGTGAGTGAGTGAGTGAGGTTTTACACCGCTTTTAGCAATATTCCGACAATATCAGTGTGGGGACACCAGAAATGGGCTTCATACATACCCATGTCGGGAATCGAACCCGGGTCTTTGGCGTGATGACCCAAGGCTTTAACCACTAGGCTACCAGACCGCCCCGTTAGGTCTTTGAAAGGCATTTGGAAGTGATACACATAAGGAAGAGAATTTATGGTATCAACTTCTTTATTATGAGGAACACAACGTTTCGGAGTACATGCTTACTCCACCATCAGGTGAATGAATGCCACGAGGCAGAGAGCATCTATATGTACATGTAAGGACAACAAGAGTAATAACATAACAAAGGTGGAAGTAGTATAGGTAATGATGGTTCTGGACCACTTCCACTGGAGCCAGATTTATATACCTATACTGCTACTACAGAGGGAATTTTTTATGCAAAAATGATGATGCGCGCAAACGATCATCATGCTAAGCAGTTGCTATATTTTGCTAAGCAGTTGCTAAAATTTACTTAGCAGAATGTAGCCAATTTAAGGAACTGCTTAGCATGACAATCGTTTGTGTGCATCATCATTTTTGCATAAAAAATTCCACCTGTAGTAGTGGTGTAGGTATATAAATCTGGCTCCAGTGGAAGTGGTCCAGAACCATCATTACCTATACCAGTGTGGAAACTTAACAAGGGAAGCCAACAGATAATTGGCGCTGATAGGTGATTAGCAATAGACAATGGAAGCCAACACTTTACAGTAATTAGCGCTGATGGTTGATTGTTATTGACAACTTGAAGCCCGGACTAAAATTATCACTGATTGGTTATTGACTACTTGAAGCCAGGACTTAAATTATCACTGATTGGTTATTGACTACTTGAAGCCCGGACTTAAATTATCACTGATTGGTTATTGGCTACTTGAAGCCAGGACTTAAATTATTACTGATTGGTTATAGGCTACTTGAAGCCAGGACTTAAATTATCACTGATTGGTTATTGGCTACTTGAAGCCAGGACTTAAATTATCACTGATTGGATATTGGCTACTTGAAGCCAGGACTTAAATTATCACTGATTGGTTATTGGCTACTTGAAGCCAGGACTTTAATTATCACTGATTGGTTATTGGCTACTTGAAGCCAGGACTTAAATAAACACTGATTGGTTATTGGCTACTTGAAGCCAGGACTTAAATTATCACTGATTGGTTATTGGCTACTTGAAGCCAGGACTTAAATTATCACTGATTGGATATTGGCTACTTGAAGCCAGGACTTAAATTATCACTGATTGGTTATTGGCTACTTGAAGCCAGGACTTTAATTATCACTGATTGGTTATTGGCTACTTGAAGCCAGGACTTAAATAAACACTGATTGGTTATTGGCTACTTGAAGCCAGGACTTAAATTATCACTGATTGGTTATTGGCAATGGACAATGGGCAAATGGGAAGCCGGGGTAATTAGCACTGATAGGTAAACGGGAAAGAAGTTGACATCTCTAAATTCCCTAATGTTATTGGTTGACATTTCCCTGTCTTCAGAGTATCAAATCATTATTTAGATTAGCTTTTGATGGGTGAGAATCACATGGTAGGACCATGTATATGGTTCAACGGATAATATTTTCTTTCTGAATCCCAAATTTGAAGCAAACATGTCAGTGTCTGGGTGAGACCTGGTAACACCTGCCCAGGGTGGTGGTCAGTGACATGTTACGTACCTCAGTGTCTGGGTGAGACCTCGAAACACCTGCCCGGGGTGGTGGTCAGTGACATGTTACGTACCTCAGTGTCTGGGTGAGACCTGGTAACACCTGCCCGGGATGGTGGTCAGTGACATGTTACGTACCTCAGTGTCTGGGTGAGACCTCGTAACACCTGCCCGGGATGGTGGTCAGTGACATGTTACCTACCTCAGTGTCTGGGTGAGACCTCGTAACACCTGCCCGGGATGGATGTCAGTGACATGTTACCTACCTCAGTGTCTGGGTGAGATCTCGTAACACCTGCCCGGGGCGGTGATCAGTAACAAGTCTCACTCGGAGGAACTCGAATGTTGGCACGGGCATGTCGGTCAGGACGGGCAAGGTCATGAGCTGAAGCTTCAGGTCCTCCAGGGTCGCATCCTTGGATATCTCGACCTCGCCGACCTGGAGGGTGTTGGCTGATGTTGTACTGGCAGACGGAGACAGGAGGCCTGCAGAACACCAGAGTGAGTGAGTGAGTGAGTGAGTGAGTGAGTGAGTGAGTGAGTGAGTGAGTGAGTGAGTGAGTGAGAGGGATTGAATGAGCTGGTGAGGGAGGGAAGGAGGGAGGGAAGGAGGGAGCGGGTGAGCTGGTGAGGGAGGGAAGGAGGGAGGCAAGGAGGGAGCGGGTGAGCGGGTGAGGGAGGGAAGGAGGAAGGGAAGGAGGGAGGGAAGGAGGAAGGGAAGGAGGGAGGGAAGGAGGGAGGGAAGGAGGGAGCGGGTGAGCTGGTGAGGGAGGGAAGGAGGGAGGGAAGGAGGGAGCGGGTGAGCTGGTGAGGGAGGGAAGGAGGGAGGGAAGGAGGGAGCGGGTGAGCTGGTGAGGGAGGGAAGGAGGGAGGCAAGGAGGGAGCGGGTGAGCGGGTGAGGGAGGGAAGGAGGAAGGGAAGGAGGGAGGGAAGGAGGAAGGGAAGGAGGGAGGGAAGGAGGGAGGCAAGGAGGGAGCGGGTGAGCTGGTGAGGGAGGGAAGGAGGGAGGGAAGGAGGGAGCGGGTGAGCTGGTGAGGGAGGGAAGGAGGGAGGCAAGGAGGGAGCGGGTGAGCGGGTGAGGGAGGGAAGGAGGAAGGGAAGGAGGGAGGGAAGGAGGAAGGGAAGGAGGGAGGGAAGGAGGGAGGGAAGGAGGGAGCGGGTGAGCTGGTGAGGGAGGGAAGGAGGGAGGGAAGGAGGGAGCGGATGAGCTGGTGAGGGAGGGAAGGAGGGAGGCAAGGAGGGAGCGGGTGAGCGGGTGAGGGAGGGAAGGAGGAAGGGAAGGAGGGAGGGAAGGAGGAAGGGAAGGAGGGAGGGAAGGAGGGAGGGAAGGAGGAAGGGAAGGAGGGAGGGAAGGAGGGAGCGGATGAGCTGGTGAGGGAGGGAAGGAGGGAGGCAAGGAGGGAGCGGGTGAGCGGGTGAGGGAGGGTAGGAGGGAGGGAAGGAGGGAGGGAAGGAGGGAGCGGGTGAGCTGGTGAGGGAGGGTAGGAGGGAGGGAAGGAGGGAGGGAAGGAGGGAGCGGGTGAGCTGGTGAGGGAGGGAAGGAGGCAGTGGGTGAGCAAGGTGAGGGAGGGAAGCAGGTGAGCGGGCGGGTGAAGGAGGAGGGGATATACAGTAAATCATGGAATTGACGCCAAGGGATAATATTAGGCAAAACACAGAAAAGAAACCTGTAGTGATTTCTTGGTGTGTAGGTAATCTTAAGCAGTATGAATTTTTCTCATAACCTTGTGTTTAGCACTGAACATTTGATGATATTGGAGTACATTCTCTTGCATTCCAGCAGGAAAATCCTAACAAGGTCGGAGCACAGTACCTTGTATTCCAGCAGAGATCCAGGCCAGCATTCCAGGCTGGTCGCAAGCGTGGCGAGGGTTCGTGGGAGTTGGGTACAGGTGTATCGGCAAACGTAGGTAACCCTAGCAATCAGGAGCATGGCAATCTTTTATCTCTAAAAAATTCCTTTTTTTTGGTCATAACCTTCGTTTTCAGGAAATTAACCTCAAATCAATCAATCAACATTTGCTATTTTCCACGTTTTGTCTTCCTCTTTAAAACAGGATATTGAATTATTTGAATTAATCATGAAATAAATATGTTCATCTGAGAGTAACCTGGTACAGTTTAAATCTTAGAGTTGTCTCACCTTTGGTGGAAGTCTCCCAGGCAGAAGAAGTAAATGATCTCCATCACTGACAAGACTTTTATCGAGAGTAAGGTCAAGGTCATCCAACACCTCCGCCATCTCCCCGCACCAGTTGGTCTTCCTCAGGTGCCAGTCATCCCCTGGAAACAGTGGGTTGGCATGACCTTGAGAGTGAACTTAACCTTGACATAAATACCATGAGAAACTATCCCAAAGTCTGACAAACCAAATTGGTATTAACGACAAGCACAAATGTTACTTGCAGGGTGTACTTTTTTATATTGTATTCATCATGGCCGACCTCCGAGAAACTCGTCACCTGGTTGCATGGTTTGTTTGCACAGCAAGTATAGTGCTTTTAGCTAACAAGTGGCAACCAAAAGGGTGTGCGTCAAATTTAGTGATTCCTTTTTTTAATTAGTTGGCCAACACGTTTTTCTTATATTATGAAAGGCACTTAGTTTACAATCCTTGATAAATCCGTGCAAGTAATAACAACTGAAAGTTAAGCTACCTGCGAAGCCTGCTCGTTCCACCATGTTCTTTAAGCAGCCTCCCACTGTGTCTGCCTTCTCCACAGTGAGTTCAATATCATGGAGGTCATTTTTGGGGTCATAGGGCGTAAAGGTCAAGGTTATCTGAAACATTGCAATAACATGAATAAACTAGAAGCATGTACACTACCCACAGTAGCCAAGTAATGTGATCAAATCAACCAGCTTCACTTTAGTATCAGAATATTTAATATAAATCCAAAATTTGCAAGAGATTAAAAGAGAAATTTCTAGTTCTTGGATAACTATCATAACAATATTTCTGTAATAAAATTATAATAAAAAACAAACAATACCAATCCCTCTACAAACTATGCATTCAAAATATCATTGGCAGCAAAAGTAAATTGCTGGGAATCATGTAGCCTGTCTTACAGTCTCTGAACCCTATTTGTCTTTCCCCGTAGCCTGTAAGGTACAAGAATCTCCAATCTCACTGGGGCTCTTTTTCAATTAAATGGAGTTGTTTGATTCATTAATCTATTGCCTTCAGAAGAGGAGGTGACAACAATAGCAACAGTAAAAGAAGTAACGTTGCCATCCATGACAGTTTCACATGTCTTCTTCGCGAACAGTGCTATTTTTCAGATTGCTATTTCAACTCCTGAATCTTTCAGGAGTCCACAAAGAATAATTTGAGTAGGATAAGGTTACGACCTTCAATCCTCAAACCCTAAAGCGCATTGCTAATGAGCCGCAACTTCGGTTTGGAGTGAATATTAACCAGAAATGGAATCATCTGGCCAAGTTAGAATTAGCTGTAATGAAAAATGAACTGAACTAATTTGAATATTATGTATTCTCCATAATTTAAAAAAAATGAATAAAGTAATACATTTTACCTTGACACAAACATACTACCTAAATGTAACAAACATTGTGGTTTTATTAGAATGGCAATATTTGTAACTTTGACTTCACTGGTTGAAGGTCAAGGTCATAAGATTATATTTTCCAATCAAAGGTATATCAGAAAGTGTTCCATGATCTGTTACAAAGCAGTATACGTTTTGAAACATGCCTGGGGAAATTGATTTTAATATTGTTTAAAGTGCAGGAAAGTACTTAGAAAAACCACTAAAATAAATACTTTTATTCAGATGTAAGTTGAGGACACCGACCCGTGTCACATGATCAGTTGCAGGATTGATACATATGGTCATATTCAACTTTGAGACAACTGCAGAAAAAGACACATTGCAAAGAATATATCAGTTAATCATATACAGGATACGCTTTAAATTAATGGCAATATTTATCAGAAAATATTTTTTTCCCCTCATAATTCTGATGAATCGCTAATAATAATTCACCATCATATAACGGACTAAGGGAATTTACAGACCCCACGGTAAAGAAAACCAGTGTATTGGGGGGAAAACCACAATGAGGAACATTTGTATATTCCTTTATAACAAATACATTCATACATTAAAAAAACATCTACAAAAATAGTGAAAAAAATATACACCCAACTTTTCAAATTAGCTCTTGAGTCTTACAAGAGCCTACAAAGATAACGATGAAAGGAAGGGTGATGACCCAAATTCCTCAACCAACATCACTCCATACTGCCAATAGCAGTGGACTGTGTTGGATCATACTAATCAACCAATTAGGGCATCGTCCAGTTAACATTAGTAACTAATATGCATTGTTATTATCTCCAACTTAGAACGATTTGAATATAAATTAAAAACCCAAGATATGAATTAGTTTGCCATATCATTATTAATGCATAACACATCACCATAAATCTTATAAGCATTTGATAATTGTGGTGTCATCATTCAAGCGATCTTTATGATTTTGTTCATAAAAGCTTGATTTACTAATGGAAGTAACAACATGAGTTATCTCCCTTCATCTTTATCAATCCACCAAACTTGACCTAAATACCTACTAACCCTTAAATGGTGGTTTTCAGGGTAGACTGTGCTATGCATAGAGAGATCAAAGGTATGACATGCATGAGAATAGTTTCCAAGCCTACAGAAGGTAAAACTATTCATCTGGTACTGTACTTGATCCTAACAATACAAGCCAATTACTTGCACTGAAGACATAATACATATTGATTTTACTACTCGCTATTGGGAAATGGACCGTAGTCCTTATTAGGACATCCACTTAGCACCTTGACATCAAACCCTATGTTACACTGCCTTAATTACATTCTTCTCTTTAATTGGAATAAAACCACCTATCTTAAGTGGCCACACAAAAATCTGGTTTAACGCTAGGATATATAGGTAATGACCTGACCCTATACACTCGTTCCCCAAGCCAAAGACTGTGGGAAACAATCAGCAATACCCTTTTCTGACTATTCAAGAAGTGTCACATATGGAATTGAGGCTACAGATAAGCCTGGACAATTTACATGACTCAGGGCAATTAGTTTTAATTTCCGAACATTACTCTTGATAAGACTGTGTACACATATTTCAAAATGTATGTTATTTATTTAATATTGTGGTTTATTATGCTTGTAAATACCATGTCACTTAAATGGAATATTTGAAAGAAATGTGTTAAGGATGTGTGTGAATGAAAGAGTTACCTCCCTTGCTATTCTCAAGCAATTAATATGTATCTCATTTTAGTTATTTTGAGCAAATGCATGACTTAAGTGAGGACACATATTATACCCTGGATCAATGGATCTGTTATTTGGAGTCAGTGAGTGAGTGAGTTTGGGTTTACACCACTTTTGGCAAATTTACAGCAATATATAGACAGGAACACCAGAAATAGGCTTCACACATTGTACCCATGTGGGAATTGAACCGGGGTCTTTGGAGTGACAAGCAAAAGCTTTAACCACTATGCTACCTCATCAGTAGGGCTGGGACGAGTCCAAATTTACTACCCGGGTACCCACCCCGCTATTACCCGACCCTACCCGCCCGCTACAGGTCTCAAGTGTTTGGTACAAAATGTCCGATTGGAAATAGTTTGAGTGTAGCCCTGATTACATAGAGAATCTCACCCTCGTGTCTTTTGATATCAAATATATCAACACGAGTTGATAAAAGTGGAAAAATTCCGAGGCTTGCCGAGGATTTTTGCCACTTTTATCAACTCGTGTTGATATATTTGATATCAAAAGACACGAGGGTGAGATTTTATTTATCATCCAACATCATTTTTTCAACTTTTTCAATTTGTAGACAGTAATTAGCAGTGTCTTCAGTGTAAAAAGTACTGCAAACAGCTTCAGTAGCAGAGCCATTAGTGATGTCATTTGATTGTGACGTCATGGTAACCAGTGATGTCACAATGGTCTGCAAAGCATTGTGATGTAATTTCATTGCAGCGATATCTCATCCTAGTGATATCTCCTGTGGGAGCCAGTTTTGGATGATAAATCGATTTAAATATATGTATAAAACGATCTGGTCATGCATACACTGAAGTTGACTGAAGTGTTATTTTTATTCAAACCTGTAAAGGTCAGAAGCAATGGTGCTTAGTCAGAAAGAAATGCATACATTAGAGACTTGTAGTGTAACCATAGAGTTCTAGATATTCTTAATCATTAAACAATATATCACATGACTAACCACGGGTCCGGGTAGTCCTGTGGGTACCGGGTCCTATTCAGTACCCACCCAACCCGAGTACCCGAGCTACCCGTCCCAGCCCTACCCATCACCCCTGTTAATTGGAAAAGTTGAAACAAAGATTGACTGATTAAGTATTCGCTATTCAGCAAACACCAAACTGTCCTGGTTTTAGGAGCAGAATCACATTTGGATTTTCTATTTGCTTTCATAAACCAAATTTCATATCCAAATATATGATACAAAATACCCCACACTGTGTAAAAATATCTGACAAACACACAAGGGAAACCCCACATGGGTTATTAGCTAAAAATAGATTAACAACAAACATGACAAGAATCTGTCTTTACTTTTCATAAAGGTGATGCAGTGCAAATACTTCCTGGAACCAGTCACTCAGTGACCCAGTGATTCATTCCTACCTGATTTGTGTCTGGTGCTTTACCAGGCTCCAGCACCAGGCAGACGTCGCCTAGCAACCCAGCTTCATACACTGTCTGCTCTTCATGAACTGAAACATAGACAGTACAAACTCAAGTCATTAAGTGTCGTGTTTAATACTGCACAAAAGAAATTAATTATTTGACTTTTGTTTCTGAAATGAGCCCATTTCTGGTGTCCCCGCTATGATATTGCTGGAACATTGCTAAAAGTGGCGTAAAACCATACTCACTCCCTCTTCTAGACTAACATTTAGTCTATGAAATCTCATATTACACAATACCCTTCTTGACTCTAAAAAAGAATTAAAAATGTGTTCCTGATGCTGAGTTCATAGAGCTAGCTAGAGCTGGCTAGACTTGCTTTTGTATACGTTTCTAGATTGTGTTTGTTTCATAAAATAAATATATTCCACAGTCAGTCATGATGCAGGACTATCCCTCTTCCTGAAATGAAGATATCCAGTGATATAGATATACCACATAACTAAACATGGACCCATCTGATACCTAGCCACACTAATTACAATATGAACAACAGTCAAATTATTATTTTACCATCTTTTCTCAATTTTAATATTGAAATACAATATGTTATTGGATATTCAGATGCTAAAACTCCCCATGAGGTGCCTCTGTCACGGAGTCCCTGTACCACCCTATGTTTACTCCACCCTAACTGTACTGCCATAGCTCTAAAGAAAATGTCGACATTTTTAACAGGTTCTGAATCTCCTATCTTACTGAAGCTCCTAGTCTGTCTTACAGACCCTGATACAAATATATATCAAAAATAGCCCATGCAAGTCTATAATGTTTGGCAAGTCTAGATCACTGCAGTATCTGAAAATGAAGAGAGTCACTGGGCTCCTTTTTATTATATTTTTATTAAGATAACTGAACAACTGTTTTTTTATGTACGATATGTTCATTTCACAGACTAAATGTTAGTCTATGAAGCTCCTTTTCAACTTAAATACAGGTGCTTGTTTCTATCCAAATCATACATTTTCAGAGACAAGGCATTAGTCTAGCTTTGCATCATCTTGGTAAGAACAAGTTAGTGATAATATCTGTATATCTCAATTACAAGGGCTGCTTCAGTTGGGCTGGAGACTAACCTGTGCCCTATATGACTGACTCACAACAACATCTCTATGGGCTGAGGGGCTCTGGGTCATTAATTACCTTTTCTACCCCAGGGGGAATGGGCCAGGAGGGGGTCAGGCTGTGGGGGTGAGGTGTCCCACTCTATACTTTATCCATATATTCCTTCCCAGGGGGAATGGGCCAGGAGGGGGTCAGGTTGTGGGGGTGTGGTGTCCCAGTCTATTCTTTATCCATATATTCCTCCCCAGGGGGAATGGGCCAGGAGGGGGTCAGGCTGTGGGGGTGAGGTGTCCCAGTCTGTTCTTTATCCATATATTCCTCCCCAGGGGGAATGGGCCAGGAGGGGGTCAGGCTGTGGGGGTGAGGTGTCCCAGTCTATTCTTTATCCATATATTCCTCCCCAGGGGGAATGGGCCAGGAGGGGGTCAGGCTGTGGGGGTGAGGTGTCCCAGTCTATTCTTTATTTATATATTCTTCCCCAGTGGGAATGGGCCAGGGGGGGGTCAGGCTGTGGGGGTGAGGTGTCCCAGTCTATTCTTTGTCTATATATTCCTCCCCAGGGAGAATGGGCTGGGGGTTAGGGATCCAGGTGATCCTGTTTGTTAATTCCTCCCTGGGGGACTGGCCAGGAGGGATATGGGCTGTGAGGGTGGGGCACCCAGGGTTTTTCCCTTACCTACAGTACTAGAGATCCAGGGGACCCCAATAATTCAATACAAAGGTCCTTACATGAAATATGAGGGACGTGTAATCCCATACAGTAATGAAATGGTGTATAGTACAGTAAACTACTTTTATAGTGAATACACTCATAACGAACTGACTGATATAACAAACTCATTGTTTAGCCCCGGCCATTTCTTGTATATATGCTGTATATATGCTTATAACAAACTTCGGTTATTACGAACTAAAAACAGTAATTCCTTTGAGTTCATTATAACCGTAGTTTACTGTACTGTAAGATGTGATAATTTTGAATTACAAGACCTATATATTTCTTGTCAATAATTTGGTACAATGAATGTAATTGTGCATTATGGGGTGGGATGCAATATATATTTTCCTCATCCATTCTATACATTTGTGCCTACTGGACGCACATCTTGTGGGTGGGGCAAGGGTGGGGCATCCAGGGACTATTCTTTGAATCTTGATTCATCCCCAGGGGTATCCGGCAGGGAGGGGGGCTGGTGTGAGGGTTTGAATCTTGATTCATCCCCAGGTGTATCCGGCAGGGAGGGGGGCTGGTGTGAGGGTTTGAATCTTGATTCATCCCCAGGTGTATCCGGCAGGGAGGGGGGCTGGTGTGAGGGTTTGAATCTTGATTCATCCCCAGGTGTATCCGGCAGGGAGGGGGCTGGTGTGAGGGTTTGAATCTTGATTCATCCCCAGGTGTATCCGGCAGGGAGGGGGGCTGGTGTGAGGGTTTGAATCTTGATTCATCCCCAGGTGTATCCGGCAGGGAGGGGGGCTGGTGTGAGGGTTTGAATCTTGATTCATCCCCAGGTGTATCCGGCAGGGAGGGGGGCTGGTGTGAGGGTTTGAATCTTGATTCATCCCCAGGTGTATCCGGCAGGGAGGGGGGCTGGTGTGAGGGTTTGAATCTTGATTCATCCCCAGGTGTATCCGGCAGGGAGGGGGGCTGGTATGAGGGTTTGAATCTTGATTCATCCCCAGGTGTATCCGGCAGGGAGGGGGGCTGGTGTGAGGGTTTGAATCTTGATTCATCCCCAGGTGTATCCGGCAGGGAGGGGGGCTGGTGTGAGGGTTTGAATCTTGATTCATCCCCAGGTGTATCCGGCAGGGAGGGGGGCTGGTGTGAGGGTTTGAATCTTGATTCATCCCCAGGTGTATCCGGCAGGGAGGGGGGCTGGTGTGAGGGTTTGATTCTTGATTCATCCCCAGGTGTATCCGGCAGGGAGGGGGGCTGGTGTGAGGGTTTGAATCTTGATTCATCCCCAGGTGTATCCGGCAGGGAGGGGGGCTGGTGTGAGGGTTTGAATCTTGATTCATCCCCAGGTGTATCTGGCAGGGAGGGGGGCTGGTGTGAGGGTTTGATTCTTGATTCATCCCCAGGTGTATCCGGCAGGGAGGGGGGCTGGTGTGAGGGTTTGAATCATGATTCATCCCCAGGTGTATCCGGCAGGGAGGGGGGCTGGTGTGAGGGTTTGAATCTTGATTCATCCCTAGGTGTATCCGGCAGGGAGGGGGGCTGGTGTGAGGGTTTGAATCTTGATTCATCCCCAGGGGTATCCGGCAGGGAGGGGGGTTGGCTGAGGGTGGGGCATCCAAGAGGCATCTATATCTATTCATTGATTATTTCCTCCACACCATGCAGGGGTATCCGGCAGGGAGGGGGGTTGGCTGAGGGTGAAGCATCCAAGGGGCATCTATATCTATTCATTGATTATTTCCTCCCCACCATGCAGGGGTATCCGGCAGGGAGGGGGGTTGTTGTGAGGGTGGGGCAGGTATTCACTGATTAATTATTCCACACCAGGGACACTGGGCAGGGAGGGGGGCTGGTTGTGAGGGTGGGGGATCCAGGGTCTATTCTTTATTTATTTATTTCTCCCCAGGGGGAGTGGGCCGGTCCTGGAGGTACTGCAATACCAGGTCAACCCGTGGCAAAGGCGGAGCAAGCCCCTGACTCTTCGCCGAGTACCAAAAATCAGTTTAATATCGATGTCCCCCAATGGGGGACGTATCAGATATTAAGCTGATAAGAACAGATACTACACTTTGATCTTAGCCAAAAGGCCGAGAAGCGATACTGAAGTCAGGCTTCATTTTCATTTTATACTGGGCTAACTACCATGATCCCTGGGTGTTCTGCTAGCTCTCAATCAGATGATTTATTCACATGGAGAAATGTACATTTCAGAATTACACAAACATGGACTTAAGGATAAGATCTACAATGTGGTTTGTCAGGAGAAGTATAAAAAATCCAGTAAGTGGAGTATTTTCTAATAAAATCAAGTCTGTCATGATATCTCATTCACAAAGAACGTTGGGCTCACATCAGTTAAACTGGTTGTACGCAAGACCGGATACACTGGGCTATAAATAGACGTACTCAACCCGGGCAGTACAATGGAGTTGGGGGAGGGGAGAGGTGGTGGGGGAGGGAGAGATCAGAGGCTACACAGACACAGGTGGGGAGACTGTATGATGTAGGAGGGGTGGGGGCTGAAGGGGGGCTGTAGTGGACACCCAGCCATGTCAAGACATCTGACCACCAACTCATGTTATCCAGTCATCTCACCCCTTACTCATGTAATGTAGGTCACCAGCGTGTGTCAGCTGAAGTCCTGGGATTAATAACAGGGCAGGAACAGGGGGATATAGATGAAGGTTTACTCTTTGAAAATATATAATTTCAAAATAAACAAATATCTCCATTTAATTAAAAAGGAGCTCCTGTGAGATGGGCGAATAACCTGAAGAAAATCTAGACTTACTTTATTTACAGCTTTTGCATTACAGGAAGGGCTTGTAGGAAGAAAAAATACTATGGTTAAGGGACTGTGAGACAGACTAGGGTGGCTGACTATGAGGGGGGTGGGAAGGGTGGGGCATTGGAGACACTGGTGGGCACTAGGAGGGGGTAGATGAGGGGTGGGACCATGGGTGATACCAAAATACTAGTTACAGATAGATATAATTATTCAGGAATAAGATTCAAAGCAAATGGTCAACTTAAAAATAGTAACTAAACCTCTCTTGAAAAAAGGCCTCGGGGCCTACCACAAGCTTCAGTCTACCATTTTTAACCAAGATATACCTATAGCTCTTGTTTGCAAACTATTTAAAACACTAATCGAGCCAGTAATCTTATACATGTATAATAGTGAAATCTGGGGTATAGAATCAATCCTCGTGAACAACTTTGATTCATTTATCCCCGGGAAACTGCATGTTCAGATTTTGTAAATCCATGTTAGGTGTCAACAAA